AGAAATAATCAAATTACATTTAAAATATATTTTAAATGTATTTTTTTAGCTCTTATATTGCTACCAAAATACAGTTATTATTTTGATTCTGAAATTCCCCCCTTTCCTGGGTCATCTACATCAGAGGATCCAAGAGTCCTGTGGAGAAAATGAAAGATGTATTTAGCTAATCAGAGAAGCCATACTTACCATAATACCTGAGAAACAGATTCCTTCAAAATGCCACACGTAGTTGGTATGATTATTGCTGGAAGCATATGAAGATTTCCCATCAGGAAAATATAAGAGAATATTTATAACAATACTCCACAGTGCCAGGGGAATCAACAGGCAACTCAAACAGCCGCTGCATTTTTGTAAGCCCATGTCAAGAGAGCAGAGAAAGCAATGGATAAAGTCTTTCTTAAGTGTTCAAAAGCTCTTATTTTCTTGGTTGAATGGAGACATTTTGCATTTATATGAATCAGTTGCTGGGATATGTTTCTTGTCTGAGAAGTCCAGTTCCTACAAGTATTGCTGTTATAGAACAATACAATTAGACAAATAGCACTGGCTGAATTCTTGTCCTATCCTGAGAAGTGGGGGTGGAGATAGGGGTCGGATGGGCGTTTTCCTCTGAAGAACTTTACTTGTTAAGGGAATTCCCTATGGTTCTACTCAGACACCTCAATCAATCTTAGAAAGACAGCATTCATCTGAAAGGGAAAAGTAAGAATTGAATGTATGTGTAGTAAGGAAGTAGAGACTGACTGCTTTTTGTCTACATAGCAGCATGTAATCTGATTAGCACTTACTTGAGATGTATCCATCCATAGTCTTTGAATCTTGCTTGGAAACTACTGGCCCCAGCTGAGAAAGATCCCAGAATTAACATTTACTATTGTCATAAAAAAGATATATTTGAATATAATTTAAAAGGGTTAAGGGTGATTAACTTTATACTATTTCATGTTTTCACATAGCCCAAGGAAAGTTTATTGTTTCTTAAACTGGAGAAACATGGGTATTTCAGTTTGGAGAGAAAAAAGACATAGAGGAGATTTGTTAGCCACATTCAGATATATAAAGCAAGCTATGGGGAAAATGTTCAAGAGCTATTTCCTTACTCACAATTTATAATGGCTATAAATTTCAACTACTTAGATTTTATTTAAATATAAGGAAAATATTCTTGATAAGATCTGTGCAACAGTGGAAGAGTCTTCCTATGGATTTTGTAGGTTCTTCATTTCTAAAGAGTTTTATAAAAGATTGGAGATCTATCTTTGATAAATGGCTTATTTAGTGTTTCTGTAAATAATCCTTATGGTTTTTTCCAGCTCTACAGTTTTATGATTCAATGATAGTAAAAAGAAGCTGAAGGAGTTTGCATCCTTGATAGTAGAAATGCAACCAATCTTTTCTTAGTGCTGCACCCTCCATTGGAGGACTTCTGGATTGGGTAGTCCCAACAGAGAACTCTGGGGTCTCCTTAGATCATATAGCACCTAGGCTGGACTATTCACCAAAAGTTTTTACAATTTAAGTGGCTGCATTGAACCCGGGTGGAACAGAGGTTAGAATTCAGTATTGCAGGCTAATTCAGCTCACTGCCAGGAGTTCGATTCTGACCAGCTTGATATTGACACAGCCTTTCATCCTTTTGAGATCATTGTTTGGAGTATACAGAGAGTACTGTACACCACTATGAAGTGGTATATAAGTCAAATTGCTATTGCTATTGCATTGTAGATAACTACAGCCATTAAAGTTAATTGAATGATTACAGCTGGGCAACAGAGATTAAAAAGGGCTAGAGGGACTCTAAGAAGAAAGTATTTGGGGCAGAACAGCATGATTTCTTAAACTGGATGAAGAGATGTAAAAATAAAACTAAAATGACATTTCCAGATTATTAAATGTATATATTTGAAACAGGATATAAATCTTTCCCACAATGATCACAAGACTGCCTCTTCCAAATTTAATCAACTTCCATTCATTTGCCAAATTAAAATTCTTATTTTCAAATGTTCTAGAAGTAATTGGCTTAAATAATATTAATATTCAATGTAAAATAGGACTTTGTTTCATGTAGGAATCAGAAAAAAAACTGTCATAACTAAAATACTATTTCAGAAATGGTGCTAAGTACAAATATCCTATTTCAAATTTATTTGCTTAAAATTATGCTTATGTGAACAAGACTATTTTTAAACTGCAGATACAGAAATAGGACAGAGTTGACTTATGAATTAACTTTTATGAAATTAACATGAACCAACAATAAACTGCGGCTTAAAGGGACTTTTTTTTAAAAAAAATTAGGTATGGAATTTTTGTCTAAGAATAAAGAATATGTGCTGCCTTCACACTTAAAAACCATGGTTTGCTTAACCACAAATAAGCCAAAAATTAGCAGGATTCTTGGAGATTAATTACTTATACCTACTGGAAAAACTGAAGCACTTAGTTCCATACAGTAAGTCAAATTGAAGAAGGCTAGCCCTTGCAAAAAAAAATTGCATATTCTAATTTTTCTCAAATGGAAAGGAGAATAGAAATAAATAGATAAATAAAGGTTCCTTAAACTTTAGGTCTGAGGTATATAAGCTAAAGAACAAAAAGCAAAGTATGAATCAATGTTTGAATGTGATGGAAGCAAAGATAGGAATAGAAAGATAAGATGGAGAACAGGAATGAGTGTTGATGCAAAATAAATTTACATAGAATTTATTTTATGTTTTGGTCTTAATTCATTTGGCTAAGTATTTCTTCCTGCACTCTACATACTTTTGTTTACACAAAAAGGAACAAGATGGGAATGCATGAGACCAGGTAAGTATAGAGTCTGAAGGAGGAGATGACTTTGCATCAGTCTTGACTCCTGGTTAACACCTCAAGAAGTCCCAGCAGTTTTCTTGGCCAGATTTATGGAAGTGATTTGCCATTCATTTCTTCTTAAGGCCAAGAGAATGTGACAGGCCCAAGGTTTCCAGGTTTCTAGTCTGTGAAACTGTGCCATCAATGTTTAACAATCACAATTAGGTTAGGTTTCTGGAGTTGCACAAAGGAACTTGTGGGTCATCCAGACGTAGTGAATTAAACCTTGGGAGAACAGGGAAAATTGTACAATGAATTATATTCATTGTATCAAGACAATCTCATACGTATCCATTTAAAGTATGGTGTCATTGATTTCCATATGGATTAATTTTCAAGTGGATATAGGATTTAATCTAAATAACACATTTTTGTATTATATTAGATTATTAAATATATTGATACATTTCTGCATGTAGGTAACAAAATCTTGTTGTATCAGATTCTTGAAAAAAATTCTTTTGAGTTTTAAACAAACAATTAAACAGGAACAAGGTTTGTAATACGAGCCAGTGTTGAGCTAATAATAAAAATAATATTTGCCAAATGTAATTTTACAGCCAGTTCTCACACATACAACTGTCGCAGTGTCCCTGGATTGTACATCACAGCCAATTTCTGACAAGCACAGTCAATGGAGTAAACTTCACGTGAAATTTCACGTGAAGAGTCGTGTAATGACTATAGGACAATGTGTGAAAAAAACACTTCCTACATTTGATAAAATGGAAACATGTTTCATGGAATTTGCTCTTTTCTGCTTCCCTCCCCTGCATTATTATTTGGAAGGAATTGCTTTTAAGGCGGGTAAGCAATACTTGATCTTTCACCAAAGGCTACAATAAGACCATGGTGTATAGGGGCGGGCACTCCTCCCAAGTTAAGTAGATGTTGGCCTTCATGATTTCCTCCAAAACACAATAATATCCTTCCCCTTCCCATCTTATCAGATTAAGCAGGATTTTTAAGTAATAGCATTTTGGCTTTGATGCAGTTAAGTCAGAGGTAAAGACTCCTGTTTTTACTCTAAAGAAGGGGAAGTCTGCATCTTATCCAGCTGAATATCAAACTGTGAGAACTTCCTCCATCCGCTCTATTCAGTAACATCCTCTTTCAGTATGTACTGATGTCTAGACTTTAGAACTGATTTTGATAACACAAAGTTACATAAAATAAATGAAATAACTAGTTATCATCAGAGCAATTGACCAGAACAATTTTTACTTTTACTGCAAAAGTATCCTTGGCCCTGTTTAGTATTAACTTGGTTCATCATCCCAGAGTTTTGGTAGATAGGCAGCTATATAAATTGTTTTTTAATTATTATTTATTAAATATATATGTTGCCCATCTCACTGATAAGGCAACTTTAAAAGTAAATGAAGTAACCTATTTTCCTAATTATATTGCTTTGGTATTTGCAAACATTGCAACAGAGGCAAGTCTAATATTACAAAAATAAGTTAACTCTGTCATACATCCAAAACTTCTATTCACTTCTATTCATTTTTGCCAATTCCCCTACCCCTTCATCCCCTTCTTAATGTTGATCTCTTAAAGGATGGGAAATATCACCCATTCTTTAAGAGATCAACAGAATAGAGTGACAGGAAAGCCCTGTTTTATGAACTCTGCTCCTTTCACTGAAGGGAAGTTGAAACAAAATCCAACTTTTTAAATTAGCCTTCCTGTATACCAGCAGAACAATATGAAATGCACATTATATGCAGCAATAAATACTGCAGAGGTTGAGATTTGATTTTACATCTAAAATCTTACTGTAGCACTTACAATGCTAAGTCACTTTCAGTAATATTTCAGTAATATTTTTTTTCTTAAATTACTTTCAATAACTTTCAGAAAAATCTTTTAAAAATATTTCAGCAAATATATAGCATTCCTGAATACGAAGTGTGGATTCTAAGATTCCTTTCTGTCTTTTAACTCTTTAAATGTTTATGTATTTCTTACATAACACATCCTACTAGAATATACATTAAAATTCAGAAATATTATCCTGACAAAGCAAATCCTTTTTGTGGATATCTCTTATTTGCTGATTAGATAATTTATATTTACTTACAAAGAAATGTAGCATAAAAATCTAAAAATATGAACGTTTTCTCAGAATGCAGTAATAGTAGTTGATCAAACATATATAGTAGGGAAAGCTAGGAAAGAAATAACCTGGGTTTGTCAGTTATTCAAATGTTTATATATTTGTTTTGAAGAACAAATACAGTGTCAACAAAAACTTTTTATATTAGTGTGATTAAAAATGCTCATAAAGGATATAACTAACATACTTTATAGTTACTCAGTTTATACAAACACTAAATCATATATTTTTAAAATAATATATAACATGCAAACACCTCAAAAAATAAAAATAAATGATTTTGCAACAAACTATAACTGGATGACATGATTTACTGATTTCCAGGTCTTGATTTTAAGCCAGGTCTTTTCCTTTTAAACTTAGAATTCTGACTTCTGGTTTTGTTTGTGTGTTGCCCTTACTTCTCTTGATATTGAAAGAAAAACATTGAGGAAACTAACCAAGAAGCGGTTGAAAAAAATCAGAATTACTTTTATCTTCCTGATTTGCTTAATAAACCACGATTAAGCGCTAGGAGAAAAAAGTAGCCAATATGCTCTAATATGAGTAGCAGATGAGTATCCCATTATCTCAAAACCCTGGCAAATAAATGAAATAACTAAACCTGGGGTTTCTTTGTGCAAAACATGGACTATCATCATCAAATTATTCTTATGGATCAAACAGATATTGATCTATTCCCCTCTGTTTTCTAGTATATCATTGTACTATGTCACTTTGAAATCTGTTTCTATTCACTCAATCTAGCCATCTTTGCTTTTCATACTAGTATCCCAATGCACAACCATCAGCTCGAGGATCAGATCCAGCCCAAAGTACAGCGTAGGAAGAAGAGAGGGGTTTTTGTTTCCACCATTCTCCTTTGGTGATAACTTGACCACGTCCAAACATACTCCTGGCATAACCAAGGACAGGTTCCTTGACATTATGGCCCATGGCTCTCAAATCATCTGCTATGTTTTGAGGAATGCCGTCTTCCAAGAACACCTGCCACGCATCTAATGATTAAAAGACAGCATTCAAGATTGTATTTGCAGAACTGAAATACCGAACAAATGTCAAATTATTTTACAAATGCCACCTGACCCAGAAACTAAAATATTGTTTTCAGCACTTGAGCAAGATCCCACAAAAGGAAAATAAAATATTTTCACCCATCAACACAGGAATAGGGGAGGGAATCTGAATAGGAGCACTTTTAAAGCAACTCCTTTAAAATTACTGAATGACAGCTATAACTCTGTAGCTAAGATGCATACCCTGCATCCTCTTTACAACTGAGAAAGGAAGAAAAGGTATCACTTCTGGAGACATAAGGTAAAAGCTTCCCTGTCCAGTTGTGTGTAACTCTAGGGGCAGTGCTCACCTTCGTTTTAAGGCAGAAGTAGCCAGCGTTGTCTAAAGGCATTTTCCATGGTCATGTGGCCAGCATGGCTATATGCCAAAGGAGCACATAACACTGTTACCTTCCTACAAAAGTGGTTCCTATTAATCTACTTGCATCTGCATGCATTTCAACTGCTCTCATTCTAGGTAGCTTCTTTACATAGTGTCAATTGGCAATTATGTACACAATCTCTGGCTACAAACAGCTAAACACTACCAGACTTTTTTTAAACATATTGGATGTAGCGTCCCATAATGCTGAACTGTAATGTTTAATGTGGCATCAGGAAAACATGACAAAATACACCAAAATAATATTCATTGCATTTAATTAATTAAACTGGAATATATAAACATTTCTAAGACCTGGTTGGGTATAATGATTAATAATGCACCAGACTAAAAAAAACCAAGATACCATGAATACTGATCCTATCTTAGGCTCAAAGCCAGGTGGGCCACTTACTCTCTCTCTCAGCCCTAGGAAGAAGGGGTGAGAGAGAAGAACAAGCCACTTCTGAAAATCTTGCCAATGATAACTGCAAGTGTTGGTCCAGGCAGTTGCCAGGAGTGACGACTGACTTAAAAGAACACAAACACACATACACGCACAATTCTTTTAGTTTTTGTTGTGACACCAGCCATATAATTGCATTGAATGTATAGAACTTTAAAGAACAGATTTTATTTTATTTATCTCCTTTTCTCATTTTTTTCTATACATACTATGCAGGAGTGTATGCATAGCACACTACACTAAATCTAGGTAAAATGACCAAGATGCTCAGGGTAAGATATATATAGAGTGGGGTTAGGGGCAGAAAGGCTGCATTTATCCCTGTAAGAACAAACCTGCGAAGTGGGATAGCTTGAGACAGAGTTACAGATCCAAAAGTACCCAGTGAGTTTCATGGCCAGATGTGATAAGCACAACATTTAACTGCTGCACTGCACACGTGTATGACTTTCCTTTCTGTTCACTTTCACCCCATATGCTTCAGTCAAGCAGATGAGGAAGGCTAGAGGAATGCTGAGCTGATGCCTTAAGAACTTCCTACTAATAATACAATTCACCAACAGAAATCTTTGTCGAGGTTGGTTGGTTCTGAGTAAGCTGTTGGGTGAAAAGACATGCTTTCAAGCAGCCTTCACAAACCTAACATCAACAAAGGATCAAGAGAGTCAACATCCCCAAGGCCACTAGGTTAAGAAATGCTATTTTAACAGACAACCCTGCGCAATTAGCTGTTAATGCTTGCCCAAAGGATTATTGAAACCTGTTTCTAAGTAAACTTTGTCTCATTTGCCATCAGGCAATAGGTCTAAATAGATGATCTAACTGAGTACCCTTCAACTAAGATAAATACACGGCCTAAATTCTGTCACATCTTAAAATTATGTTCTTATATATTGTCAATACAGAAAAATAAATGAACATATACATAGAGGGAGGGAGGTATGCTGGAACCAGCATGTACTGGCTCATAAGAGGTGATTGGTAAATTGTTTGAAAAACTGTTAACCAGTTAAGACAGAGTTCAGCTTCTATGCCTAGTGTGCTGAAAATCTGTTCAATGGCTAGTGGCTCAGCACAGGGGTGCCAGTGAAGCCACCTAAGCTAGTTCTTATATATTTACCAACACATCACTATGTATGTGTACACACAGAGACTTATATACATACATACATGTGCTTATAAAATTTATATTCTATTGTGCCTTCAGGATGGGTTCCTCTTTTTTTGGCTTTAGTCAAGTGGAGCCTAGACAGAGTTCGGAAGTGGTTTCCCACTGCCTTCTTCCTAGGGCTGAGAGAGGGTGACTGGCCCAAAGTCTTGCAGCTGGCTTTGTGCTCTAAAGTGGGTTTAGAACTCATGATCTCCCAGCTTCTGGCCTGATGCCTTAACCACTGCACCAAATTTATCCTTTCGAAGTAGCATACGAAGACTAAAATACATTATCAGAAGAAAATCTATCTGAGGGTGGGTGGAGGTGGACAACAGAAATTACAGGTATCCATTTGCCATTTCTTATAAGTCTGTTCTTCTATGAGAGTTACATCTATTGCAGCCATTCTCCCAAGAGCACCAGCAAAACAAAATCATGGATATGAATATGAACTCCTGTTTACAGGCTTCACTCTTGCAAACTACTTTGCAAAAAAGCAGCGCCACCGAGACAAGTTAAATAAACCAAAAGAAAAAACAATGTAATAAAAAGAAACCAACCCAGGAGTATGAAACACCACTGTACTGATTTCAACATACAGCAAACCATATGGGCTTTATTTCATTGCTACTGGGAGAACAAAAACCCATCACTGAATTTCATTGTAACAGAATAGTTACTGTTATCCAAACATGAGGTATTTGATCTTAATCAGCAAGGTTTTCTTGGCATCTATAGCACTGTGTCAATGTAATGTAGTTTTGACATTTACTTCAGATTTCTTCCTGCTTATGTCAGATAGAGGGAAAATAAATTCCATTTTATAGTCTTACCTTTTTTGCTATACTCTATATAAAAACGAGATGCATCCAAAGCCTCTTGGGGATTCTTTCCAAATTCAAACATATTTAGTAGTACCTATAGGAACATATAGAGAGAAATGCAAACCTGGATTATTATGAGGGAATAATTCATTCATAAAATACCAACTATCTAGACAATATTGTTGCATAAAAAAAAATTTTCTTTATATTATGGCTATGTCCAAGGTAATTTGATGCTTATTTCAAGCATACTACATCCTGCCTAAATATTAGATCCAGTAAAATATAGGCTGAATGCTCAGCTGATTTTTTTATATATACTTTTAATTAAAAAATAAATCAAAAGCAGATATGTTTCAAGGTAGAATCCCAATTTCAAACAGCACATTAAACAAACAAACATAAATTTCATAAATGTCTCTGGTTATGATTATTAGTCAAATGAAAAGAACAGGCAGCTACAACATGGGGGGGGGGGAAGTATGCCTATTTTCCAGTGAAAAAGGTAAGATGGAAATGGAAGTGGAGTTAGAAGAAACCATCTTGGAGAACTTATGATGGTTCTGTGGGCGTGGCTTAGTTGGTGGGTGTGGCTTGGTAGTCATGTGACTGGGTGGGACTGGCCAACTCGACATAACTCATGTCAAGGGGCGCTTCTCCTCGCCTGGCCTCTCATGACAGTGGGGAAGCTGCAACGGTCATAAGTGTGAAAAATGGTCATAAGTCACTTTTTTTAGTGCCATTGTAACTTTGAATGGTCACTCAATGAACTGTTGTAAGTCAAGGATTACCTGTACAAAAGTACAAAAAGCTGCCCCAAATACCAAACATTATATTAAAAATACCTGCAAACCAGAGTTACAAATCAGGCAGGGTGCCAGAGCACCTTGAGGAATGAAAATAGTTAAAATGCAGTGATAACTATCAAGCAGCCATCTCTTACTCATAAAGTGAAATCCTTTAGCAGAGAGGTCTCCAGAAAAGCTCTCCAGAAAAAGCAGACCCAGGAAAAGCAATCCTTAGATCCATTTGCACCACTTAAAGATACCAGCTGTCTCACTCACCTCACAAGGTATTTTAAAGAAATCATCCAGATTTAAGGAAAGGTCATATGCCCCACAGAAAGGCAGTAAAAAAAAAAACAGTGCCAAGGTTACATCCTGCCTCTTGGAAGTATTCCCCAAAATGACAGTGCCAGGTGGTACTAAAGCAGTAAAGGAAGACTCTCTTCCCCAGATAGAAAAAGAAACCATGAGGCAGGAAAAAATTCAAACACAATACAAATAATTAAATCACAACAGTAGCTGTTGCTTGTTAAAGATGAATAGGGAAAATTATCCCGTCAATAAACACAGGATTAAACATCACCAAGCACAGAATTAACCTTCACCAAAAACCAGTTTTAGGTTCACATTTGAATGTCAATCTTTCTATCTAGCCAAGAAGCTGTGCTGAATGTCACTCATCTTGGTTCCCTGTCACTAAAAGCTTTGCTTCATTATTCAGTTATTTCTTCAAACTGCTGATTGTCCAGGGAAGTATTTCCTCCCAACAGCAGTGTAAAAATCTTAAAACAACCCTTCCCCTTTAAGAAAGTCAAGCCTCAGAAGCTCTGGAGAGAGGAAGTATAGGCATACTGCCAAGAATGTAATAAGGGTGGGAAAAAACAAAAGGAGATTGCTTCTAACTACCAGTTCTCAGAACTGCTGAGAAAGTTAACAGGGGGTTCTATAGAATCGGACAGAACCGGTAGAATCCCATCCCTGGTGAGAAGCAATTGGGACACCCATGTGCCAATTTTGAGCCTGACCTTGACTTCATAGCAGTTATTTTGTGAGAATGCCCATGAAAATCTCCCCATATTTGCTGAAAAACATAAACTGTATTAAATCATGTAAGTTTTGAAGGGCAAAGGATTTTCTGGCAACTAATACATTACACCAAGGAGGGACAGAGACTTACTTGCACCTGACCTTGCGGTTGCATGAATCCTCCCATAACTCCAAAGCAGCACAAAAGCTCTCCAGTATCGGCTGCAGTGGCCAGTGCTGGTATAATTGTATGATAGGGTCGCTTGCGAGAGGCCAAGCAGTTTGGATGATCATGCTGTAGTGAAAAACAGGCTCCTCTGTTCTAAAGATAAATCAATGCATTAAAAGTCAGATAATAATAATAATAAAAAGCAAAACTGCAAAAAGTAGCAGTCCATTGGCGATAATAATAAAAATATTTGTATAAAATAGACATCATTAAAATGAAGATAAAAAGATTCCTGATTACATAATCTTTACCTGATCTGTCATAATATTTCAACAGTTTTTGAAAAGATTTCAGTGGATAAGGGAAATTTTAAATAGAGACATAAAACTTTAAATAGAGAAGGAATTCTTGTACATACGGATGAAGCTAAAACCTTGAGCTTCACTGGGTAGCCAACTTGTTTTCATTTTTTAAAAAAAATACAATAATTTGAAATGGCTAGACTTGAATTAGGAACAATTTCAAGCCAATCATGATATGAATTAGCAAAACACCACACTGAAAAAATTGATGCTAAAACAATCATTTGATCAAGCACATATTCCCAATGCTGAAAAATACTTTCTTACTTGCAAAGTAAATCCACAACCATCTGGCACCAGCCCTGAACCAAATCCTTTATAGAGGCTGTTAATGAAAGAGCAGGCATTGCCTTCAGCATCCACCACACTAAAATAAACGGTGTCATTGCCCACTGGGAAGGGATTTCCATGACTATATTGGGCAATTGCTCTGGGGAGAGGAAAGCAAGCAGAAAACTTAAAACATTGGTATTGTTTGTAGTATTTACAACGTGATGAGGGCTGACATTTGGTTGCATCAATATTTCTCAATTTACTTATTTGAGGAAATTGTTTATTTATATTGGTCCAGGGTCTATGGCCATGGATCTACTTCTATGTACTTCTCGCAGCCAACGTCCACAAAAACATTTGCATTTGTTGTCCACCTCCCCCCGCCCCCCCGTTTTGAGGCTACTAAAAAAAACACAGAGGCACAATGCACCTCCTGTATGATTTAATTTTTGCGGACAACTGGTGTGGGAATCCAAAACATGTAGAAATGTTCTGACTCGGGGCTATAGGGCATTTTATTTTTCAGCTGAAGTGGCCAATCAAGAAAACTTTCAACGACTTATTTACTGCAATGTGTACTTTAGAAAGTTGAAGCAAAGTTATATAGGAAATGACCAAATGACCTCCTGTGAACAGGTAACAACTGGATTGTTTTAAGAAGTGTTTCCACTGAGAGGTTAATCCCAAACGTAAATTAGAGTAAGCAAATATTTTATCTAAAGTACACAATATTGATATTTTTAATAGCCGGTTCCTTAGGATTTTCAAGATGGGTTCTGGTATTACGGCCAATTTGCAAATACTCCAGCATAATGATAAAAATTCTTGACACTTGACAAAATTCCTTAAGTTTAAATTACCAGCGCTGAGCACTTTTAAAGAAAATATGATTCTAATACAGAATTGTACATTTACTGTTTCTTCATTTTGACAAAGTATTTTCTGGATATATCTTGTTAGGCAACATTCTCCCACAACATATTCAAGCAGCAAATATCAAATCTATATATGCATCATATGACTTCTCAGAAACAAACATTAGGAATTTAAATCTTGGGGAAAGTCTAGAAGCTTTCAGATTTAAAAAATGCATTCTGAAAACTAGCAATTTAAGGGGGCAATCAGAGGTGGTATTCAGCAGGTTCTGACCAGATCTGGAGAACCGGTAACAGAAATTTTGAGTAGTTTGGAGAACCGGCAAATACCTCCTTTGACTGGCCCCACTCCCATCTAATCTGATTGGCTGGTCTTCTTTTGCTGCCCAGCACAGGAGAACAGAGCCGGAAAGCAGGTTAGTGGGATGGGGAGGAAATGGGATTTTGCAGTAACTTTCCCCTGGAGTGAGGTGGGAACGGAGATTTTACAGTGTCCTTCCCCTGCCATGCCCACAAGCTATGTCATGTCATGCCACGCCCACCAAGCCACACTCACAGAACCGATAGTAAAAAAATTTTAATCCCACTAATGGGGGCAAGCCCTCCACACAAAATCCAAAGAGAACACATCCAGTGCTGTAAAATGTCAGTTGCAGCAGTCTGCAGAGTGGGTGGGGAGACAGATAAAACCCAAGTGCAATAATAATGCAATATCAGGGGTTTTCAATTCAAACGTATAGAACGTGAAGGATGTGTATTTTGTTTTATTTTTTTATGTATAGTGTACACTGAAGATGGCATTTAATTTCTTTGTACAGGATGCAATGACAATAAAGTAAACTAAAACTAAAAAAAACTGGCAAAGAAAAAATGAAGATGAGTGGAGTAATGGACTTTGTGCTTAGAGAAGGGTTGGCCTGAACCTGAAAAAATTTCACTATGAGAGTAGATACTCTGCTGTATCTTATCATTCTTTAAATTGTGTGAACTAATAAAGCACACTTACTTCTTCACACTCCTCTTTCTCCTCTCCTCTGCCCAAGCTAGATGCATATACCTCCTCATAAATTTCATCTAGTTTTTCTATAAAACTATGCCTGATAAAAAAATAAACTTTGTATTTGATATATTAAGCAATGTAGAAGTATCATGAATATACACGTTTTCCCTGCTTAATGACTGTCCTGTTTATTGACCATTCAAAATTACAGTAGTACTTAAAAAGAAACTTTATAACTCCATCCTCACACTTAGGACAGTGTCCCTCAGTCCCAAGACCATGATTTGGGCATTTCATAACCAGTGGGTGCTTCAGACAGTCACAGCATCCTATAAGTATGTAATCACCATTTTTTATCTTAATAGTCAGCTTCCAACAAGTACAGTCTATGAAGAAGTAAAATCACAAGTCAAAAGTGACCATATTGCTTAGTGAGAGAATTGTCAGTCCCAATTCTGGTTGTTCAGTGAGGACTATTGTAGTATGATGATGACTGATGATGATTAGACTAGATTAGATTATAATGCTTTCGTCTTATTTTTCTCCAGAATAATTCTGGGAAGTGGTTTAGATAGAGCCAAAATGACTCACCCAAAATTCCCCAGTAAGGTTCAGTTTCTGAGGGTGGACTTTAACCTGAGTTCTCCATGCCAACTCTGCAACTTCTATGAAGAATTATTTCCCTATGAAGAATTATTCTCAGGTTTTCCAAGTGTAGATACTCCCAATCTATCTAAAATTAATCATGAAGCAAAGTTGTTTTGAAAGCAGCTCATGCAGTTTGGAGAAAAACATCAATACTAGCATAACCAAGCAACTGGAACAGCTGGCAAACTTATTTTAAAAGAAAGCTGAAGCCAATAATAGTTAACACTGTGGTATTGTTTCATATTTAGTAAGTAATTAATAAGTAGTGGCACTTATAAAAGTAAACAGGAGGACAGCTTACCTGTGTAAATTGATTAAATCTGAACGGTCTCTGGCATAAGATTTAGAAAGGAGCTGTGCTGTAGGTACTGTTCCTTTTTCCGGATCAGCACAAAACCAAAAACTATCAGCAAAGCTCAGCTTGAATGCTTCAATTAAAATGTGCAAGTAATGAGTAGAATTATGGTACAGATCTGCAGAAAGCCAACACAAATTATTGTTTTCAATTCATAAAATTCTTCATATGCATAGAAGTATAATTGTGTATATAGTACTTACTGATCAGAAACAGTGAATTGATTCATACATTGTTTTCTACACTAGAGGATGCTCTTTCCCCAGGCATTTTGTTAGTGTGATTGAAGCCTCTTTTCTTCTTTTTCTTTGTTCCTGTTTATGTTTCCTATCTCTGCTATCTTTGTTACCTTTTGTCTTTGTTTGTTTGTTTGTTTTTGCTTTAAAAATGTTTTTAATGATTTTGTAAACTACCCAGAGTTGTTGGGAGCTGGGCAGCATATAAATTTAATGATGATGATGCCAGATAGCATTGGATGTGCCCCATCGTCACCACAGCAGACACTGTCATAGTTTTTTCCAACTGACAAAAGGGAAGATTATGGGTTTAATGAAAAGTAATCATATTACGTGTAGGTAATTAATTTAAATTAAATTTAAACATGAATTAAATTTCATTGTTGCCTCAGGTTCACTCCTTCTTTTGGCTTTACAATCATACCATTCAATTCCTGGTTTTGGAAAAATATTTCCCTGAGAAATCAAGAGAGACCTACATAGACCTATAACCTAGGACAAAAGTGCCATTCTTTTTCTGCTCCACTCTCTTTCAAGGTCAAACTAATATTTATTGCTTTATTGCTAATTCCCATGGATCTTCCTCCTTGTTCCCATCCACTTCTCTTTGTACTTTGGCATTTGCTATCAAAATGTATGTGCCATCTGCTCTTCTCATTCTATCTGGCTTACAATATATGAGATAAAATGTTAATAAAATCATAAAATCAGTCCATAAAAGATAATCTCAAGAAAGGGAGGATTTTCAAGATGGCATTTGATAGTTTTTTTAAAAAAAGTTTCACTACACGAATGCTCTTTCCAAAGCTACTAATATCAGGGGTGGGATTCTACCAGTTCGCACCTATTTGCTAGAACTGGTTGTTAACATTCTAAGCAGTTCGGAGAACCGGTTGTTAGAAGAAATTACTGGCCTAATCCTGTAAGGAAGGCAGGAAGAAAACATTCTGGTGTTGCTTACAGAAACTGCCTCTCCGTTAACCCTTATTACATTCTTGGCAGGACTAGACTGCCTGTCTCAGGAACGTCTCTGGAGTTATTTTTCCCTCCTTTGCTGGTACTTTGCTTGTGTGGAGTGACCATTCAAAGTCACAATGGCACTGAAAAAAGTGACTTATGACAATTTTTCACATTTACGATTGTTGCAGCATCCCCACAGTCATGAGAGGCCAGGCGAGGAGGTGCATGCCTCGATGTGAGTGATATTGAGTTGGCCAGGCCCAGCCAATAACATGACCACCAAGCCACGCCCACTCACTCACATGATCACCAAGCCACACCCACCAAGTAAGCCACACCCACAGAACGGTTGTTAAAAAATTTGAATCCCACCCCCGACTAATTTACTTTAAAAAGCCAAGACTTCAGGCTTGGAGGCCTAAGCCTGTGATTTCACAAGTACTCCTTAGTCTTAGAAAAATTCACCAGTAGCATCACCAACATATTCTCAACTAGCAGCATTTTAGAACAGTAATTTATCTTATCATCATCTGGATCATCAGAATAGGGGCTAGATTAGGATGTGCTCTGGAAAATTGGAAGGTGTGCATTAGGCAGGTAACTACATGTATTTATCAAGAATGATCATTTTTTGTTTTCCTTATGGACGTAATTTTACATATATTTCTACAATTAGACTGGGATCTAAATTACAATGGAAGTAATTTTACATATATTGCTATGCGATTAAGAATTTTTATAACATAAAAATAAAACATTCTTTCTAAAGAGGCTTAATTGCCATCTGTATTAATTGATATGTCTACAAGTTTCTGTTTGAATGAACTATATTGTGATTTATATAAATAAAATTTTCCTCAAATTGAGTGAATCTGGGAAACTAACTGGATATGTTATCTTACATCACAGAAGAAATTTGCCATTACCACTTTCTCAATTTTTCCCTCCAGTTTCCCATTATTACTCTCTAATAATGTGTGATTTCTATTTCTTTGAATTAATAGCGTTTAGACGTTGCTGACATGGCAAGTTTTGTCAATCTATTGCATAGTCCTATAAATCTCTCTTAAACAAGTCTCATTCTCGTTCATTTCAGTGTAAACTGTTTGACAAAAATGTGTTTTTTCACTTCTTTTCCTAAAGTAGAAACATCTAGCATTTTTTTTCCTTAGAAACAACAGGTATATATAAGAATTAGAAGCTGACCATACCTTTCACATTGAAATTTTCTAAAATATTCAGGGCTAATAAAGTTGTGATTCCTTGACCATTGGGAGGAATTTCCCAAATATTCATGCCCTAAAAAATGATTGACACTATTTAATACTGACCATCAACCAAATAAAGAAAAACTTTCTGATACTGTTCTAAACAAAAACCTTTACTTATTTTTCAACTAATGAAATATTAAAACTTTAACACAGAGTTCGCCAACCACTGGGCCGGGGACCACTGGTGGTCCATGAGACAATTTTGGTGGTCTGCAGAGAAATGTCACCCCGCAAAGCACCCCCCAAAGCAATTAATCCAGACTGCGTGGGAACACAAGGCTGTGCCACCCACATGGTCCATGGGAACACAAGGCTTGCATCACTTGCATTGCAAACAATATGAGGTAGTGGGGGAGGGGGAAAAGGGTAGAGGAAAGAACTTGCCCCCCTTGCCCCACATGCCTGGCCTGGCCATGGGGCTGCTTCTTTCCGCTTCTTTCTTCTTCTGGTTTTGGCTGCACGCAAGGAAAGCAGGAAAAGTCTTTCTTTCTCTCCCCCACACTCTGCCAGAAATGAGTCTTTGGGACCCTGCAAGGCATCCTGCTCCAAGAGGCTGCACCAGTGTGACAAGTTTCCCAAAGACTCATTTCTGGCAGAGTTTGGTAGAGAGAAAAAAAGACTTCTGCTGCTTCTGCTGCTTTCCTTGCATGAAGCCAAAAGTCTCTGTCTCTCTCTTCCCCTGAGAACGGAGCTGGAGATGGTATCCTGTGATCTCAAATAAAGAATGATTGATCGGTAGGAAAACAGGGTGGGGAATTTTCCTGCAGATTTTGGGGGGGATTTTCCCAGGATCTCTGCTGCTTTCTCCAGAGACCCTAGGAAAACGTCAGCAAGCCACCATCAGTCAAAATTCATATTTGTGGTCCACGGGATTTAAAATTATGAGTTTGGTGGTCCCTGAAGTTCAAAAGGTTGGCAACCCCTTCTTTAACATGTATTACCTATTCTTAAGAAAAATATAATCAAACACACATGCAATATATGATGCAATTAACATCAAATATCACTAATTTTAAGCAACAGTGAGTGCATGCATTGATGTAGCATTCCTGAATAGATTATATGCTTATGTCAATTAAATACTTTCTCATAATAATCATCCCTCCATATTTTTAATATTTTTCAGTTATTTTTAAAAAACATTTATGAAGATTCTATATACACACAAAGACAGTTAACAATGAAATGCATCTTTCTATTAGATTCTGACTATTTCTAGGAAGATAAATTTTAAAAACAGTCAAATTATTTTAAATGAGATAATGTGCAACTATTAATAATACATTTTTTAATTAACCTACAATTGTTTGAATCTTTTTTAAACCCATGTTTTTTTAATGTTTTTGTGATTCTAACATAACGAATAAGTGTAATAATAGTACACCTGACATTTAAAGTATACCATTTTTTGCATGATTGAAGAACCTGGCATACTTTTACTAACAGTTAGGTACCAGTTTTTTCCTGAAAATAAGATTGGGTCTTATATTAAGGAGCCTCGGTGGTGCAGTGGTTAGAGTGCACTACTGCAAGCTACTCCTACTGCAATTTGGAGATTGAATCTCACCAGGCTCAAGGTTGACTCAGACTTCCATCCTTCCGAGGTGGCTAAAAGAGGACCCAAATTGCTGGGGGCAATATGCTGACTTTGTAAACCGCTTTGAGAGGGCAATAAAGCACTATAAAGCGGTACATAAGTCTAAGTGCTATTGCTATTGCTATATTTATTAACTTTTGCTCCGAAAGACACATTACGGCTTATTTTCTAGTTAAGTCTAATTTGGGGGGAAATATGATACTAAACGCATCCGTCTGGCTGATGATCTTAACTGGGGCTTATTTTGGGTGTAGGGCTTATATTACGAACATCCTGAAAAACCATGCTAGGACTTATTTACTTTTTGGTCTTATTTTTGGTGAAACACAGTATATAAGCATTCCTTTTTTTATGTGAGTTTTTTGGCATCATGATTTCTTATACTATACTGAGTAGCCAGACAGCTGTTACATTCTGAACTGCTAGCAGCTTATTTGATATCCATGAGCAAGAGCTGAATAATCAGATTTATACACTTGCCAAATCACTGAGAAACTGCCTTCATTTTCCTTCTGTAATATGAAGTGCTCTGAAAGTTTAAAATGTTGACTATATCTCTTTTATTTGATTCGGTTCTCCAAATTATCACTTATCTCACCCTTTCATTTAATGAAGAATAACTTTGTAAGAAATATCATCTGGCTGCTATGCTATATGAAATCTGTCATTATGAATTTTGGATTATGAATTATATACTGTAATTCTATTATATATTATAAATTATATAACCATATCATACCTTATAAAATTTTATCATGTATTTAGTATTATGTATGTATGTATGCATGTATGTATTTGTTTATTATGGCTATCATGAATTATGGGGTGGCTCAGCGGTTAAACGCCATGCAGTTCGAAAAAGTGCAAATGTGAGTAGATAAACAGGTGCCACTTTTTGGGGAATATAACAACTCCATGACATCATGCTGGACACATGACCATGGTAATGTCTTCAGACAGTGCTGGATCAATGGCCTTAAAACGGAGATAAACACTGCCCCCTAGAGTCGGCAATGACTAGCAGAGTAAAATCCACAGGGACTCCTTTAACTTTTTTTTAATCTATCATGAATTGTATTAAGAATTATATAGATCGTCTGCTACAAAATCCATTTGGAAGCTGAAAAATAAGTTACATCTTGCTTTATTGTTATGTTCACATATTTCCTATAACTCCTCTCACTGGGCCTAAAGAATGTAAATGTTCAAGCCTTCAACCTTAGTGCACTAAATTTTATTGATATGTACTCTATAAATGTCAATATTGTCATAAGTATGTCGCAGAGTTCTGTTTCCTTTTCATAACACAACAACTAAAATATTGGAAATAAGTCATTAACATGCTATGAGAAATTAGTGATATTTATACTTTAGATCAACTTATTGTCAGTTAAGCTTTTAAATCTTTTGAGTTATTACAAGAGAAATGTAAATTGTCTAAAATTGAAAAAATGCAATATATTCAATTATTCATTAGTCCAGCAAGTTCCTGCAAGTTCCAAATTATTATCAGACTGGAATGCTTTGTTTTAATTCATATAAACAAGTACAAAATATTATTTATCCTTTATAATAATTACTTTCAAGAGCTCTGGAATAAATGGTTATGATATACCATATCAACAAATCAAAAGCTAAGAATATCTTACTATTTTAAGACAAAACAAATTCAGATGTGTTTACTGGAAACTTTACAGATATTTAAAAAGGGGAATGGAAGATGGAGTCTGCTGCTGCTGAGGAAGCTCTGAATGTGATTATTGTTTCTTCTTGGGTGGAGTTCTTGGCCCTTGCACTGATGATGTAGCCTAGCTGGATAATAAAATATCTGCAAACAAATAACCCAGCTCAATGAGTATCAAGAATCCCACAGTTTATTCCTGAGCTAGCAATATCCTTGAGCGTTTGGGATTTTATGTTGTGGGTTTTTATGTGTGTTTAATCCTTGTAAGATGTTGAAGTCATTTGGGTAAGATGGGCAGCTGTATATATTATATATATTGTTTGGTTTATAATATAGTTGTTACAAAGCTCAGTTAGATATACCTATGAATTATATAACAATAAATTGAAATATATCACCATATTTCCCCTTTCTTATGGAACATCTTGCCTCGAGAGATCCTAAACACCATTCCTTCATGTTTGGGAAGCAGTCAAGATCAGACTCTTCTTTGTAAGGGATTTGTAATGGTATGTGGGAAAGACCTTGGGAGATGAGTCAAAAAGATGCTATCTAGGGAAAGTGAGATAAGAGACAACATAGTTGCATGGTGGGTAAAATAAGAGGCTCAAAAGGAATCCTCCTTAAGCTCCAGGCTGTAAAAGTGACAGAAGGAGAACTCTAGTTTCAGACTTGTGAAATTCTGTTCATGTAGCTTTACAGTAAAGTAGAATTAGTTCATCTAATTGTGTTTCCTGTCTGGTCAACTTGCTAAAGCTGACAGAATTTGAAGTCTGAAGAAGGAATCCTGATGCAAGATCTGTATTGCTTGGGGATGCCCAGAACAGCATGTAGCCAGGGGCCTGATTGGTGCCTTGACAACCCTCTCTTCATCTTTTAACTAATTTTAACTGTGTTAATCATCCTTCAATCCTTCTAATATTTAGTTTTTTTATACTGTGTTTATATTTTAATATGTTTTTGCACACTACATGATGTCCTTCTCTGGGGGAGATTAAATTTAAATTACCAATTCTCCTTTAAGACAGTAATGCAAGCATGCCAATGTGCATTTAGTTTATAATTTCAAAGAGGCATAAAATTGTACATGAACACTGGAATTAGTTTTGAAGAATACTTGTTTTATATCACTCCATTTACATCAACTGCAAGAGACTCTTCACAGAAAGTTTTGAACTCCAATCTTTTATTTCTCTTTTGCAGGAGAAAACTATGAAAGCTGAATTTAATTTGCAAGATTTGTATTCAGGATATGGATCTTTGCCAAAGATTTATTAATACTGCTATGGGGAAGAATACCAAAAGAGGTAAAAGAACAAAGGCAGGAGTGAAGACCCAAGAATGACCTGGCAAGGAAAATTCCTTTTCTTTCTAGACTTGGCTACATGACTGGAAATAACTCCTTTGAAGTGTAGAGAAAAACAGATTGAGTCAAGTATTCTTGTTTATGGAAAGTTCTAAGATAGAAGTAACACAAAAAGGGAATCACCACACAGAACAGTCTCCTGATCTTTACATTTTTGGTTTTCGTCTACATCCAGTTTTTAAAGTTAAGTCCCATTTACCTTAAGCATTTTACTAAATGTTGAGTTTAATCTTTAGCAATTAATAACAAAAACACAAGTAGTCCTGTTTAGTGATAATTGGGATGATGAATTCTATTGTCACGTAAAGCAGCCGCATGAACCATCACATTTTTATTATCTTACTTCACCTTTCCTTTGCTTTACAGAGCTGCAAAGGCCATACACATGAGGACGAATCATAATGCCCCAATTTCATCATTATCTAACAGCAAATGTTTGTAAACGAGGCAGTAGTTAAATGAGGGCTATCTGTAATGGAATAAACACAAATGGACAGATATGTATACATACATACATACATACATACATACATACATACATATGTGTGTGTGGTGTTTTTATGTTATATTCATGAAAAAGATGCCACTATGTGTTAAAAGTGACAATGATTTGTCAGCTTGCTACTATTCCACAGCTGATGATACCTTTTACTACTACAACATTTCTTCAACTTCCAGTTTGAACAAAGAACACCATCAGAGTTGAAAGGGACCTTGGAGGTCTTCTTATCCAACCCCCTATTCAACCAGAAGACCCTATGCTATTTCAGACAAATGGCTATTCTGTCTCTTCTTAAAAGCCTCCAGTGATGGAGCACCCGCAACTTCAGAAGGTAAGCCATTCCATCGGTGGATTATTCTGTCTGGAATTTTCTCCTTTGTTCTAGGTTGCTTCTCTCTTTGGTTAGTTTCCATTGACTGGTCCTTGCTGTGCCTTCTTGTGTTTTGGAAAATAAGTACCTTTCCCCTCTTCTTTGTGGCAGCCCCTCAAATCCCTCATTTTTTTTCTGGACAGTACCATGCATCCATTCATTATGCAGAGAATGGAAAGGGATCAAAAATAATAAACTAAAAAAAGTTTAAAGGCAGAAGATAATAGAAAAGGAAAGAAAAACTCACTAAATCCAGTTCACATCAGCATCATTCACTGTATCTTTCTAGCCTTGCATGCCATTTAACTTCCACTGTATTGTGACCACATGCCATCTTGTATGGTTTCCTTAGAATAGCATAATACATGTTGGAAAGACTGCACTATCGAATACTGCAAGATTTTATGGGATGATGCAGATAGGCTAAGAACAACTTCCTCCAAGTCAAACCAAATTACTTCTTAAACCTCTAAGAAAAACCTATGAAGAATCATATAAACATCCTTGTGGATATTATATCTTTCCATACCATTTTTTAAAAAGTCTGCCATACCTTGTAATTTGTGACAATAGGCTCAACTTCTTCAGTGACATGACTTTTCAGGTCTCCTAAATCCATTACTCCACCATTATTTTGAATAACATCCACAATTGCTTTAGCCACATGACCTTCGTAAAAGCCTCTTTTGCCAGATTTTGCTAATTCCTGGAGGAAAAAAGACTCTAAATTACAAAATCAAAAGAATAGTATTGTCATGTCCTCAAGAGCACTTCTGAATGGCATCTTTTCATAATGTTTCTCTGGCACCTTTCAGTTACATAGACATGGAGAGTAGAAACTGGAAGTAAACGCCGGTTTGCGCCAAAAGATGTCATCAATCATGGTCCCACAATTGCAGGATGCTATAAATAACTATAAATCCAGACCCGTTGCTGAGTGCCCAAAATGTGGTTACCTGAACACGGAGTGGGGGGGAAACAACCACTGGAACTTTGAATCATGATCATAAGTATCTGTTTTGTGGTCACTAAACTGCTGGTTTTAGGTTGGGGACTACTTGTAAATTTTAGATAATTTTTTTAGGGACAGTGTGGCCTATGGAGAGAAGCAGCGTAAGAAGAGATAGCTTGTTTAGGTGCTCTGTAACATTTTGTGGGAATGACTTCGAGGAAAAAGGAAAGAGAAGCTGCCTACTGAGGGTTCAGCCAAGAGAGGAAGGCACCCTCGAGTTATATCCCCAATATCAGAAAAAGAAACGTAGGAAGAAGCTGCCCTAATTGATCAGGATGTTAACAGTGACTGTAGGAGACCTGTACTTTCAGATTTGCAATACTGATGTCAGCTCTCCAAGGTAAACCACACAGAAAATATGACCAAATGAGCCAGTTTTACTTTATTGTAAGGCTACATTAACTGAAACATGCAAGTCTGAAAGAACAAATTACCCACAACCTAATCAATTGGGGCAAGTCTTAAGTTTCTTTCTCTAACCATAACCTTCATATTCATCAGCCTTTGCCAGCAATGTGTCAATTTGTTGTAGGCTTTATAAGAAATGTTTTCAACCTATATTGCAAGTACTAAAGGGAAAAAAGCATTTATTTTGACTTCTGAGAGTGTGCCACAGGTGGGCTAAAGCAGTTTGTTTATACTATGGTTGTATACCATTATATAGTATTTTATGGTTTATACTCTAGTTACAGTTGTGCTCGTAAGTTTATATACCCTGGCAGAATTTATGATTTCTTGGCCATTTTTCAGAGAATATGAATGATAACTCAAAAACTTTTCTTTCACTCATGGTTAGTGCTTGGCTGAAGCCATTTATTATCAATCAACTGTGTTTACTCTTTTTAAATCATAATGACAACAGAAACCACCAAATGACCCTGATCAAAAGTTTACATACCGCAGTTCTTAATACGGTGTATTCCCCCCTTTAACACCAATGACAGCTTGAAGTCTTTTGTGGTATGTGTGGATAAGGCTCTTTATCTTCTCAGATGGTAAAGCTGCCCATTCTTCCCGGCAAAAAGCCTCCAATTCCTGTAAATTCTTGGGCTGCCTTGCATGAACTGCACGTTTGAGATCTCCCCAGAATGACTCAATGATATTGAGGTCAGGAGACTGAGATGGCCACTCCAGAACCTTCACTTTATTCTGCTGTAGCCAATGACAGGTCGATTCGGCCTTGTATTTAGGATCATTGTCATGTTGGAATGTCCAAGTACGTCCCATGCGCAGCTTCCGGGCTGATGAATGCAAATTTTCTTCCAGTATCTTTCGATAACATACTGCATTCACCTTGCCATCAATTCTGATCAAATTTACTGTGCCTTTGTAGCTTACACATCTGCAAAACATCAGTGATACACCTCCGTGTTTCACGGTAGGAATGGTGTACTTTTCATCATAGGCCTTGTTGAGTCCTTTTGAAATGTAACATTTATAGTTGTGGCCAAAAAGCTCAATTTTGGTCTCATCCCTCCAAATGACTTTGTGCCAGAAGGTTTGAGGCTTGTCTCTGTGCTGTTTGGCATATTGTAATCAGGATACTTTGTGGCATTTGCATAGTAATGGCTTTCTTCTGGCAACTCGACTAGCAGCCCATCTTTCTTCCAGTGCCTCCTTATTGTGCAGCTTGAAACAGCCACACCACATGTTTTCAGAGAGTCCTGTATTTCACCTGAAGTTATCTGTGGGTTTTTCTTTGCATCCCAAACAATTTTCCTGGCAGTTGTGGCTGAAATTTTAGTTAGTCTACCTGACCGTGGTTTGGTTTCAATAGAACCCCTCATTTTCCACTTCTTGAGTAGTGTTTGAACTCCGCTGATTGGCATTCTCAATTCCTTGGATATCTTTCCTGTTTTATACAGGAAAGTGTTTCCCTTTCCTGTTTAATACAGTTCAACTACCTTTTCCCGCAGACCCTTTGACAATGTTTTTGCTTTCCCCATGACTCAGAAACCAGAAACGTCAGTGCAGCATTGGATGAAAGATGCAAGGGTCTGTCAGGAGTCCAGGAACTCACTGACCTTTTATACACACACACATACTAATTACAAGCAAACAGATCACAGGTGAGGATGGTTACCTTCAACAGCCATTCAAACCCCTTTGTGCCAACCTGTGTGCATCTTATCAGGCCAAAATCACCAGGGTATGTAAACTTTTGATCAGGGTCATTTGGGTAAAGTTTCTGTGTCATTATGACTTAAAAAGAATAAACACAGTTGATTGATAATAAATGGCTTCAGCCAACCACGAACCATTAGGGAAAGAAAAGTTTTTGTGTTATCATTCATATTCTCTGAATAATGGCCAAGAAATGATAAATTCTGCCAGGGTATGTAAACTTATGAGCACAACTGTATACTAAATTAACCCTAGGTTATTCACAGAAGCCATAAAACATAGTTTATACTTCACAACAGCTAAGGTGGCACAGCACAGTTAAGCCAAAATCACATACACTATATTATGGTTTGATGTGATTTGGGAACCCAGCCACAAAGTGCATAGTTCAGCAATTAATTGAATTTTAAAAGCCCAATCAAATTTTCTATAGCTTGCTATTACTATTTGTTTCCTTGTTGTAAAGTTAAATCATATTATACCTTTCTGAAGGATAAACCAAGAATAAGCTAGTATAACTGAATATTCCTTGCTTATGCAGCCATTCCTAACAATTGATATAACAATACATCAAAATATCCTTGGTTCAAGTACAATAGAAAACCATGTTATCAAGTCAACTGGATTTGAGTACATCTCTCTATTTCCTTCCACTTCTTTTCATGGTTCCACTACCTCCTGATGTCCTAGAATGGCTTATTTCATAGGAAGTCATCTTTTCCCTGTTTCTCTGAACTGGAAAACTATGGTACTTTCCATTCAAGCTAGAATAGATAAACGGTATAAGACTATAGTTTAGATTTTCTATCAACTAAGCCATTTTTATACAGTCATTTGAGATTAAGAATTATACAACATTTTTTCATAAAGCATAATAATTGTGTATCAGATCAATGTAATATTACAGAGCATGCAACATGTCAGTAGATTCATCCAAAGGCAAAGAACACAAGGAATGCTTATTTATGCAAAAAGAAACTGCCCTGCCTTTGACCTAATTCTAAGAAAAAGCCACGTCAATCTCAATAATTCAAAAGGGATGGCAAATTGTTCGTACCTGGTACCAAGACAAAACAGCATGTGTCATTGCAAACAGTCAAATAAGAATACCATTTACCATGTGGTGCATTACCATCTGGCACCAAATTGTTAAATATTAACAAGATGTAATTAGCCACTAAGGAAGCTGAATAGGTGAACAGTTTCTTCTAATACATTGATTCTAAACAGCCACATTTTTATAGCATTAGCAATAGAAAATATATGTTGAAATGAGGAATCCTTGCCCCTCTCTGAGCTTAGCTATTTGCTTGTAAAGGTTTTATTGTTGTTCTTCCGACTCTTGGCAATTTTATAGGCAGGTGCTCTCCGTGCTACCCTGTCAACACAGCTTCTTTTAGTTGTCAGATATTCATCTTTGTATCAGTTTTGATGTATTCAGCCAGCATGTTCTTAGCTTGCTCCTTCTTCTTGTTCCATTAACCATTCCTAACATTCATTCTCCAATGAATTTGCATGCATGACATGGCCAAAGTAAATCAAACGTAGTCTTGTGATTTTGGCTTCTAGTGATGTAATCTATTCAGTGTCTGTCTGTTGATTGCTCTGACTGCCCATGGTATGCACAATAATTTACCCCAGCACCACAGTCAAAATAATCAACATGTTTGCTTGCAGATGTTTCATTACTTATCTGGAGAAAGGGCCTAGATTATCCCATTCCTACCTACCACATATTAGATACATCAATCAGAGTTTATTTTACCCTGTTGATAGGAAAGAATTGTAAGAAGAGTGAAACGAAACTGGGAAATCCACTAGTCTCTGAAAGTGCCCATATTAAACTGTGTAAAGCAGCAACACCATCCAGTCTTATTACAACAAAGATCTGCTGTGGGGCAGCACAATACATGTGAAGAGAGTTTTCTGTTGAATCAAGAATGTCAGAAACAAATGTTAATGTCATTCATTTGGCTGGGCCCTTAGACCTTTCTTCTACCTCACAGGCCCCACCTTATCAAAGAATTTGACTTATATGAAAGTGTTGTGTTTACTTCTACCACTGAAATTAAATTGCAAGCTTGATTGTTTTAGTCAAGTACCATTCACTTTGATAATTTTCCTTTTTAGCTGCCTTGACTTAAATGAAGCTGTTTCACTTAAACAGAAAATCAAATCAATACAAATAGTCCAATTTTAGTTGGTATGTGTGAATTAGTAAAAGCTTATTCATGCAAAGTCCATTAAAAAGCGATGTTCCTGTGTGATATATTTCTCTATAGATTAAAATTAAAATTTGTAGGCACTTATATACATAATGAGGCTTGATACACATCTAAGTTACAGATATTAGCATAACTGTCGAAAGAAATTTTATATGTGAAAAAACTATTTTATTCTTCTGAGGTGTACGAGTTCATTATCCAAGACCAAATTCAAATTCTTCCCTGTAAAGCCTCTTGATCTGAAAAAGATACTTAAATACTTAAGGTCACTAATGCCTCTATAAAGTTGATTGAAGTTGACTCCCATAATTTGCTTCCAAAAGGCTCTGTTGCAGAATTCTTTTACCTCTTATGTCTGTGGAGATTCTCAATCATCCAGGTCATGGCTGTCCCAAAGGTGCTTTTTCAAAAAGGCAACTGGACTGTTTTTTCCTTGAGGAAGAAGATGTTTTGCTTCTCATCCAAGAAGCTTCATCAGTTCTGGCAGGATGGTGGGGGCTATGGAGGGATTAGTTCTGACAGGATGGGGGGTGGGGGGGGTGGAAGGATCATATTTCTTTGCAGTCATTTGGTCTTACCACTCTTCCTGAGAGCTCTTAAGCCACTTGGGGGTTTATCTGTGGCCTCAGGGTCACCTGAAGTTATCTGAAGGTTACCTCAAGAAGTCACTCCTTAGTTTTAAATGTGTTACTTCTTCCTAATTTTACAATCCATTTCCTACACTGCAGAATATGATTCCAAGAAAAACATATAATCACAGCTTGTTCCTCCTGTACACTTCAATACAGATATCTACGGAGATTTCATCTAACAATTCTTAACCAATAGACTGAATATTTGTTATGTTAACCAACATTCTCATCTTGTAAAACTGAGGATGTTATACACTACTCTAAATACAAGGAATATATAGATGCATAGAAATGGGCAGGGGGGTGGGGTTAAGAAAATTATTACATTAATGTGTCATGTAATAAAATAAGTTGAATGCAGGTGGGAAAAAGGCATAAGCAAATAAGCTTCTGCCTCCTCTCTCCAGGAAACAGCCTGAAAAGTAAGCAATCTGACACCATCTATATGTTTTGCCATTTACTGATGTCTATGGCATTTATCTCTGAATGCTTTTTCAACATTACATAAGTCTCAGAATGAAGTTAAAAAGCAGTATCTGTCAGATCAGGATACTAAGATTTATAATTAGCTAAAAAATGAGACTGAGAAATGCTGCTGAATAGCATCCAGACATGGCTACCTAATCACTTACGATTTTCGTAACTAAGTTAGCCAGGAAGCAAATTCAATTGCTGTGGAAATAAAATTAAATTTAATGTACATTATTGCCATGCTCCACTAATTTCCCTGCATCACATGAAACATCCCTCTTTTGATAAATATCAGCCTTCAATGTTTCCAAAGACTATAACTCTTGGTTCCAACCAAGACACCCAGAAGGAGCCAGATACAGGAGTAGGTTACTGAGGGTCAAACTCTTCAAAGCAATTCTGTCCTGATTCTCCTTTGTATTTTCAATCCAATCACTTCTAAAATGACATTTATCATTTGTTCAAACTAGAGCTGAAAGAGATAAGGCATATCTTACCACTGAAACTATGTACTCATAGTACTAGATATGGTGCTTTTTGCTAGCTTGTGCACAAGGAAATTCACAATGAGTTACAATAGTCTTGAGAGTCTGATTCTTTGAATGTTGTAGGATCCAATCTGGGTCGGTTATCGGGACCAGAGGTTTTGTCTTCTGAGCTTTCGAACTCATGCTTGAGCCCATTTTTAATTAGGCTAGAGAGAAGTTCCCTGAGTTCCAGCATGAATCTGAAAGCTTGGAAGACAAAACCTCTAGTCCCAGTGATTGACCCGGATTGGATCTTGCAACATTATCCTGGAACACGTATATTTGCTTTTATTCTGAATATCATGTTGAAATTTATGTATTTCTCATGTAAAACTCTGCAATCAATTTCAATGTATATTAGATGTGGATAACCCTAGGTTGGTAGCAAAAAGTCCAGCCTGCAGAAACTCCCTGAATTTCATCTGCTTTTCCAAGCAATCAAAAATTAGGTTTTTGCTGATAGCACCGGAAAAATAATCATCTGCTATAATTGTCAAAACTGAACTTGATGTTTCCCAGCAACCCTGCTCAGAATCTCTGATTTCTAGTAATAAACACACTAGTGAATGGGTGAATATCTGAGTTTACATAAAATATACATGGCACACAGGCAGTCCTCAATTTACAACCATTTGTTTAGCAACCATTCAAAGTTACGTTGCTGCAAAAATTAACTTATGATTGGTCCTTACACTTACGACCATCACAGTGGTCATGTGATTGCAGTTTAGGTACTTGGCAACAGGCACGTATTTACAAATGGTGGCAACATTTTGTAATCATATAATTGCATTTGTGACCTTCTCAGTCAGTTTCCAACAAACCAAGTCTATGAGGAAAGCTGGCCTTACTACCATGGCAAAAAAGTTCAGAAAATTGCACACAACTCACTTAACAATATTACTTAGTGATAGAAGTTCTGATTTCAACTGTGATCATAAGTTAATAACACATACATGTACGAGTATCCATCAACCTCCAATTTAAGAATCAATCTACAATGTCCATCGTTCTGTATATGGAAAGTAGACAACCTTTTCCTAATTCAAAAGCTCCTATTATGAAGTTATCAAACAAATGAAAAATGCAACTATTAGCTATGTTTTTTACCAAATATAACAGACTCTGTCAGTTATGTGCTATTCAATAAGCCCTTATTCACTTCTAAAAGCTTTCATAAAATAATGTAAAACAATTGTGTCACATATTCTCCAGAAACTGCTTGATGTTAACCAAGAAAAAAAAATATCCCAAACACTGAATAATTATTCTTCAGCTATTTCTATCAAAGCAAAAACTGAAAACATATTGTCAGAACTAATATACAGGTTTGATTTTAAATAGAAATATTCATACTGATTGCATGTATATATACATGTATATATAATACTACAATATATTTTAACTATCAATTATTGAACAAGCCATTATGGCCTAGTTCATAATAATTGAGGCACTTTAATCATAGTATGGCTTAATAATTGAGGCACTTTAATCATAGTATGGCTTAGTTGTATATGATCTAAGTAAATATATTTCAATTTTTCTATAACAATCTACATGGATATCATGATGATATGTGACATAACCAACCAACAGTAAAAGGTGGGTGGTTACAATCAATAAATGTTACTAAGTTAATGCATAATTGGCTGTCTCTTTACCTTAAAAGTGTTTGCCAAAAGAGGATTTTGGAAAACTTGACCATGCTCTGGTACTTCACCATTGATCAAGAGGTCCTTCCCATGTTGATTTCCAGGAGACTGAAGAACATGAGCATCTTGTTTCCACTGGTAAGAAGTAATCTCAGACACTGGAAAGCCCTTCTCAGCCATTTCTATTGCTGGTTGTAAAATCTGCCCCATGGAAAGCTAAATCAAGGAATATTGCATTGTTATCAATCAACATACAGTACACACACCAGTTATAAACATTTGCACAATACACTGAATCACATAAGCCAAAGTTAAAACTAACCAAGCTTAGCATGCCATGTGTATGCAGTTTAGCTGGCCTGGTTAAGTGTGTTCTATGAACTACAATAAAAAGTGTAAAAGTAAAGAGGAACTGTGAATCAACTTAAGAGATTAAACGGGGCTTTCTAAACAGTTGAAAAATTAATACAGTGGAAGAGAATATTCAAATTTGTTATGTTTCTGAATCGTAAATTAATATGTTATTTCATGGCAATAAACATGATCAAGATCTATTTCAAAAGGCATTATTTCATTCCTTCCTGTGGTATCAGGTATGTGAAATCTAAGATTTGGTTTCATATATATGAATTCTAATCTAGCAATGTGCAGAATATAATCTTATCTTGAAAACACAAAAGAAATTAGTAAAATCTCAGCAGGTGATACATGAAACTGAGTGATATTTTTAAAATAGGAAGGAAAGAAGTTCAATGGCCTGTTCTTTTGCCTGCCTTTCCCCATATCTTATGCAAGCAGAAGAAACTCTGTGCAATGAAAGGAAAAGCAAATTCACTAATTAAAAAAATGCAAAAATATTTGTGAAAGAACAAAAATAAAACAATACTACAAGTAGCCCTTAACTTATAACCACAATTAGGACCAGAATTTCCATTACTAACATAGGCAGTTGGTAAGTGAATGGTGCCTGATTTTATGTTATGACTTATGCTTTTTTTAATGACTTTTTGCCATGGTTGTTAAGTGAATCATTGCAGTTGTAAATGAATAACATGGTTATTAAGTGAATCTTCCACTCTTGATTTTGTTTGTCAGAAGACAGCTGAAAAAGTGACAAATGTTGATCACATGGCCCATAGATACTGCAACATTGATTACATGCTGGTTGCCAAGCAGCCAAATTTTGATCATGTGACGGGGGGGGGGCACTGCAAGGACCAATTGTAAGTTACTTTTTTCAGTGCCGTTGAACAGTTGTTAAATTAATGGTTGTAAGTCAAGGACTATCTGCAATCAATCTTTTGAGCAATAACATTTGCTAGACTTTTACCTGTTTGCTTCCATACAACATGACAGCATCACACCATGCAGCAGCAGCACCAGGGACTGTGATGTTACATGCATGTCGTGAAGGCAGAGGATTTGCTTCATCAAAGCCATATTCTTTTAGAAGCTCAAGGGTGAGGGATTGTGGAGACCTTCCACTGCAAAGCAATCAGAGGTACACAGATGAATTATATAAAACCTAACTTTTATTCAGTTTTACAAGAAAAAAAAAAGACTGATACATCACAATTAGTTTAGCAGAGCCCTGAGGATCAACCACTCAAAATAATGCAAGTGATTTCCAGGTCAATTAAATACGCTATAACATTACAGTTCATATTCCTGGAAACTCTTGTTATTTCAACCAATTCTTGTTCTACAACTAATCTCATTACACTGCTCTCCACAGTTTAGGATTCTTCCCAACAGCTCTTAGTTATTATACTTCTGAAGTCTATCTCAAGACTATTCTGTCTTTCCCTCCTTAATAAATCTGAGATAATATCTAAAAAGGGAGAGGATAGTTACAAATAGAAGATGGAAGTCTGGAAAATTTCCGGTCTGAAGGGCTTTGGCGACAGACAGGAATCCGCGATTGTGCGCGGTTTCTGCCTGGGCTCGCCACTGGAGTGCCCCGAGCCAGCTGGTTGCAGGGCTAAGCCACCCCATAGAGGTGGTGAAGAAGAGGGAGACTGCCAGCAGGGTCGAGGAGAGCCACATCTCTCCTCCTCAGCTGGTCAAACTCCCTTTCCCGAAGGTGGTAGGAGCGGTGGTCAGAAATGCCCACCTCAAAGAAGTATTCAACCGGAAAAGAACGTGCAGGAGGAAGAAGTGAAAGTTTTAGCTGACCGGGCTAAGTTGAAAAAGCAATAACTAAGGTACCCTGGAATTTAAATTCTACAAGAAATAACATCGCTCCCAAAGAAGAGTCGGAAGCAGTGAAAGAAAGTGAAAAGGGAAAGGTTTGGCTTTTTTTTTCTTCTCTCTCCTTCATTATATTGACAATTAAGAATAAGAAATTGGAAAAATCCGCTTTGGCATTAATAGGCAATTAAGCTGAAAATATAACTAACTGCCAAAGGGACAATAAAGATTTCTGGACATTAAAAACTTTTTCTTCTATAAGCAGGAAGGGAGAGAAAAAGAATAAGGGCAGGATCTGGAAGAGGGAGGAGACTGCCTGGACTTTAAAAGAATCTAAAGTAAAATTTCAATAAGACTTCTAAAAGATACATTTTAACTGAAACTTTGCAACTAAATAGTAACCCCAGGAAGAGAAAGTGAAAAAAAAAAAGAAAGCAAAAAGAAACAGTTTGTGTGTATTTGGATTACTTGGTGACTTTTGGATTTTTGGCTATTATATTTGAATGACTAAAATCAATCGGGTGGTTGTTTAAAAATTTCTACAATGGCATTACTTTTGGATGAATTGAAAATGGAACTTAAAAAGTACAAAGAAGATGCACAAGAAGGGAAGGGTTCCTTTGGCTTCGTTTCTCAATTCTTAGAAATGGAGGAAATTAAAAGAGGGGAGAAGCTATGTAGAAAATGTAAAATTGTAATAAGATATGGAATAGAATATAAAAATGAGCATGAACCTGAAAATGTGTTTGCATGAAGAAATGTAACCCGAGATTATGCTGCTTTCAAAAAAGAGGTTTTAATTGTGTTTCTTTTCCTTTTGTGAAAACTCAAATAATATTTACAAAAAAAAAAAAAGATGGAAGCCTGGATCATATTAAATTCATAATTGTATAATTAAGATCCTACTTGGAAAATGACCCTATTCATTCAGACCTCATCTCACTTGTCCCAGCATAATCCCATCTCATCTCACCATCTTCTCCCTTGTCGACATGATGCTGTCGTCATCTCACTCCCAGCTCATGAATAAAGAAGCCAAAAATATCATTATCTGTATCATTATAAAGATCATACATTATCTCACTCTATCCCAAAGATGGATCAAATATAAAACTTTTCCTTATATATTATTCAGTAAAATTGTATAGTTTAATCTACAGGGATTCCAAGTAGTTAACAAAAAACAAACAAACCATGACATAATTTAGCTGTCAAGGCTAAAAAAAAACCTATTTAAGTAAAAAAAAAAATGGAGCAACAGCAACATTCAAAACATCATCATTTTCCTCCTGTTCCAAAAGCAGTTCAGAAAAACCATGGTTCCAAAAATGAAAGAGGAAACTGATCTAATTTTTAAGGGAGGATATGGAATGCTCTTCCAAATAGAGTGTTTCATATATTTATGATGGTTGCAGATCATCAAAACTCTTGGCCGAAAATTCCTTTTTAGCCAATGGTCAGGGATGCTTAATTGACAAAATAGTATCTCCATTTATCTGTTGTGCCAGGATGCAAAATACACTTGGAATTTTGATACCACTCAAGTAAACATTTAGCAATATACATTATATTGAATTATGATGTATATAATACTTCTGCATTTGATACACAGTATTTGAGTTAGTATAATACTAACTATATAGTACTATTTAACATCTCAGCACTACACAGGAATTTATGAATCATTATCACTATCCTTTTTCTCAGCTGTGCATGAATACAGCCTGAGTCTCTGAAACTTTTAATGCATTTGTCTTGCTGTTTTTTAAAATCAAACCCTAAGCTTGAATTCTAATTAGTCTGCTGTGCTATTATTTTATTACACCTAATATACCTTTACAAAAAATTATTGCACAGAATCCTAGAAAATATTTTCCATTAGAAAATATTCTTTAATTATACTTTCACCATAGGGCTTGGTCAAGTGTCATATATGGAAAAAAATGTCCTTTGTATTTGATATTGTTTCCTGCTTCTTTGTGAAATGTTCAAAGAGATGGGTATGTTTGGAAATCAGATTTATGAGAGACAGCACATCCTGCTCTTTGCCCTTTGACTATGCGTGATAGAAAAAGAATATAAAAAAACCAACCGACAGTAGACTTTTATGGCACCCTGCTATTCATTTTACTGAAGCTCAACAGCAGAAGGGCGGGCATTCCCTTTGCACTGCCCAAAAGTTCAACAAAACTCAGACATAGGAAAATCAGAACCAAAAAAAAAAAAAAAGGGAAATGAGATACACACTGAATTCTGACCTTCTAATTCAACACAAGAAATTCCCAAATGAAACTTTCTGTCCACTTGTAATATTGTATGTACACAAAATCATTAGCAGGGATAGTTTAAAAATAATTTAAAGTAACACACAAGCCTGGTAGTACAAATCCAAAAACTGAACAATTATTATTTGCATATACAAGAAAGCTTGTGGGAACTGCAGCAAGCCTAAGAGCCATCATTAAATTGTAATGTTCTGGGATATCCAATCCAGGAAATCTGCCTCTCTCTTTTTTTTCAGACAAAGTGCATTTATGTATTTCCATTATTTGCATTATTTCTTTATCATCAATTTTTCCACACTTCAAGCAACAGCTAAACATCTCCCAACTTTGTATCACCAATAAGGCTCAATCAGTCCTGGATTCTCTGCTTTTAATTCAGTGACTTTGAGCAAAGAGCCTATTCAGAGCCTCAGCTATATTTCCCACAACACATTTAGACATGATTCACCTATTCTTTCCCTTCCATTCCTATTTCTATCACAAAGGAATTCTCAGTGCCTGGTATAACAGTCTCCTGAAGTTTCAATCCTATTTCCTTTTCAGAAGCCTACAAAAACTGGGCTTTTAAGCAGCCCTGGAGCAGGGTGGTTTATTACCCAGATGGTTTTTAATTTTATTGATGTGATATGTAACAGATTTTCTTTTTCACCAAGATGAGTTTTAGCAATGTTATTTATTTCAATTGCCTTTCCTTCTTGTTTTAACCCTAATTTTCAACTGCAACTGAGTTGATCTAAAAATCTAATAAACAAATAAATAATTTTGTTGCACAGAAGCCTTTTGTCATGCCCGTCAGAGTCTGAATCCAAGGAGGAAGCCGGAGAGCTGACAGGGAATGGGAGTGTGGCTCCGTTGGCTGTGGAGGAGGCTGTGGAAGGGCAAAGTCTGGCTGGCAGAGCAGAGGAGAGACAGAACAAGGGAGAGGGAGTTCAGAAGAAGAACCAGGCCCACCCTCTTCATCCTAGGGCACGCAGGGAGGAACGGAGAAGAGAACAATGTGGGTTGCGTGCCTTACGGGGGAGGAAAGGGCTCTGTTTCCCTTCATTAGCCACAGCTAGTTTATAAGAAAGCCACAGCCACTGTTTATAAGAAAGGCAGACTGCATGTGGCAGGCTGTTGGGAGCAAACATGACTTTATCTTTTGTTGTTGTGGCTTATCTATGTTCCTGGAATCTTCCCAACCGTGCGAGTTTTGCCGTGCCTTCAAGTCTGAAATTTTTGCTCCTGCCTTGCCAAACTAATTACTTCGGTTTGGCTTGTTTGGACTTTTAAGTTACAGTTTGTGTTGACCATGTTTTGGACTTAATTTTCTGCAGTCAAAGGCAGTCAAACTCCTGGGAGAGTTTTTCTCCAGCCAGAAGATAACCTGGACATTGGGGGCAGAGTTGGAAATAAAAAAGGGGCTTTTATTGATTATCTGACTGTGTTGCCTTTGTGTCCATGCCCCGGGTCATCACACCTTTATCTTGAAAGGTTTCAGATACCCTGGAAATAGTATTGAGCAAATACTCTTTGTAAATGGTGAAAAATTTTCATTCTTCTATCTATTCTTCTGGGAGGTTTTACTTCTACAACCTGTACTCTTCCATGCTTTATTTTTTAATTGGTTTTGCTATTTGTTTGTTTACTGTTTTTGTTCTGCCTGGAAAAACAGTTTAGTCTAGTGGTTAAGGCAGCAGGCTAAAACCAGAAGACTATGAGTTCTAATGTTGCCTTAGGCATGAAAGCCGGCTGGGTGATTTTGGACCAGTCATTCTCCTAGCTCAACCTACCTTACAGGATAGGTTATGTTGAAAAATATAGAAGGAAATAATATTTGGCATGTTTGTCACCTTGAGTTATTTTAAAAAGGCATGATAAAAATAAATGAATGCTTTAGTTTGAGTAGGCATGTCTGCATGTTTTGTTTCGCTTCTTGAACTCGGTAATGGGAGCCCAGCGCTTTCCTTTAATGTCAGTTAGTGTTAGTTCTCACTCACCTTCCATTGAGACCATGCACCTGCTTTGTCTTTGCATCATAATACAGGCAGAAACAATCTCCACCTAGCCCTGTACTGAATGGTTCGGTAACATTTAAAGTGGCAGCGACGGCCACAGCAGCATCTACAGCATTGCCGCCCATCTTTAAAATATCTGCAACAAAGAATTTCATTAAGAATGCAGCAATGGTGGAATAATACTACAATAGACGTTATCTTCCCCAAATTTAAAGATTCTATCCACTGAAGAAGAGTAAAATAAACACCAAGGCCGACATTCGTGGCAAGAGACTGGCTTGATGCAACACAGCCATTACAGCAAACCACTGGGGATCGTCGAGAACAGAACTTAAGCTGTGACATCTTCCTGGAAGTGAGGTCAATATGAAACCTGCACAGAAAAGAAAGGAGTATAGTTACAAGGCATGTGAAGCCACATGTTGTATGCTATCCAGAATTAGGCTGGTGTCAGGTGGCAATTCAGTAAAAAAAAATGGAATGTTTTTATTTATATATTTATTAAATTTATATGCTGCCCAGAGGTGCTTTGGATATTGAGATGGGAAAGGAAAGGAGTCCCTGTGGATTCTACTCTGCTAGTTGTTGCTGATTATAGGGGGCAGTACTCATCTCTATTTCAAGGGCCATTCAGCCAGGGCTGTCCTTAGACATTTCTGTGGTCATTTGGCCAACATGTTCCAGAGTGCTGGGTGACATTTAAGCTTAATAAAGAAACAAATAACTTTTAGAATATACCATCTTAATTCTGGCTGACATACAACAAGAAGACATTAAAAAAATAATAATACAAAGACCAAAATAAATATTTATATACATACAAAACAAATATATGCATCCATACAAAACAAATATCTGGAAAAAGACCACCACAGCCAGAAAAACAAACATATTCCAAGGGTCTACCAACCAACCTTCTTGGGAAGAATTGGGTTTTAAGAGCTCATTTCAATTGGGTCAAGCTGAAGACCGTATGAATCTTGAGGCAGGAGGAAACGTAATTCCTGACACCAGGTGTTGTAACTGAGAAAGTCTTATTATTATGTCTCATCAAAGATCAATTGCTGTCATACACCAAAGACAAATGCACAAAGCTTTGCAAACTCAACAATAGTTGGGATATGAGGATTCTCTTAACTTTGCTTTTCACACCTTGTTTGAAACCAAGCTCAGAGAACTCCCCCAACCCAAGCAGTGTATTTCAACTAACTACATGAGTTAAATGTATGTTCCTCTAGGGCAGGAGTCTCCAAATTCTCAATGACCCCTTCATGAAGGTTCAAATTGTTCATCAATATCCCCAAATATGTATATGAAACATAATTTATGATTTCTTAATAGATATTATGAAATTTATTTATTTATTAAATGGATATTTAATAAATAACTAATAGTACTATGAATAATATAACACTAAGAACCCCTTGGAGAGTCCCATCAATCTTGGGAGCCAATGGAGAACTCATATTCTATGGTTAAAATTTCTCAAAGGGCACCCTTCCTTTTTAAAACACCGAGAGGGGTCAACATAAAGAAGTCGGGATTCCCCGGACAAACATGGGCTATTCAGAGAGAGCGCTGGTGACTTTAGCCAACAGAAAAAGCATCTTTCTAGATGGGAGTCAGTAGCAAGTTATGGAGTGGGGTAGGAGGATCGTGGTTTGTTCAGCCTGGCATTCTCAAGATGAGTGTCACCAACATGCTTGACCAGCAGACCGTGAGTTCAACCGATCTGGAAGAAGGCGCCACGTTGCGGGAAACGGTTCTAAGCCACGCACGAGACTGTCTCCATCCCCACGTACGCCCTCTCCCAACGCAGGCAGGTCGATGAGAGACGAGACAGCTCCACCCTTGCTCCTCCTTCGAGAGACGCAAACGCAAACGGATCAAAAACCTTATTTCAACAAGCAGGACGAAAGTCCCGGTCCTCCTACCTTTGCGTTGCAACGCCCCCACTTACGACGCAACAACAGCACTTGGCATTCACATTAAAAAAAGGGCCTCGGGAAACGAGAGCAACAAGTATTCACTGTATTCACGTGACTGCAAACACGTGATGACTGTTCAGTCTTGTTTCCTGGCGCTGGGAGTCAAGGTTGCTATATAGAACAGAGAACGGGGTTTGTCGCTTCGAGCAGGATTATTTGGAAGTGTGCCTCAGTTGTTGTGGTAGTCTGTAACAGAGGTGTTGTTAACACATCCAGTGTGCGTTTGCGAGGTATTTTACCCCGGTAGATTATGGCTCTTCGCTTTAGCCTTATATCTCTCTAAGAATGCAGATTTGAGCTACAAGTGTTTTAGCAGAATACTTCGATGCACTTAGCGTGTCGATAACTTTTTTTTTTTTTTTTTGCATTCCGATCTTGCAACAGTCCAAAGGTTGATAGACATCTGCAATTTAACTCCATTTCAAAACAATTTTGAATCATTCCTTCTCTAACTGCACCTTACATTAGTACAATTTTTTTCACCGTTGTTCTTGCTCCTTGTATCCAAGGGTCTGGCAAAGCAGGGATGTTCAGGAAATCCCCCCAAACTGAAGTGTTGGAATTACAGTTTAACTCGTTTAAACTACAGCCTTGAAGAAAATATTGATCGTTCTGACCTATTCCTGATACAGAGTCATACTTTGAATGACCTTCCTTTTCATGCATGATCTGGGAGCAATTTGTTTCCAGTGCCTCCTTAAAATCCCCTTCCTTCAGCCGAAGAATGCTGTGATCTGACACTGATATGCAATAGTAGACATGGACTTCTTTGGTCCCTGCATTGGTTCCTCGAATTGAGCAGGCTTCAGAAATGATAGACGCCTGGTTTTTGTCAGCTAGCCAAAACCACCTCTGAAGTTGATGAAGATTGTACTTCAACATAACCAGAGCATTGTTATATTGGACAGCACACTACATATTACCGGTACTATTGTAAGCAGCATTTCTTAACCTCTTAGCTTCTTCAAACTATAGACCTCAGTTCATGTGGAGTTGAAGTCTACACTTTAACAGTTGCTAAAATTGAGAGTCTGCTAAAAAAGGACATTTGCATAGAAATTTATTTATTTGAATGATTAAATGTATGTGGTCACCTAATTTACACATAGGCAACTCTGGGTGACCTCCAACATTTTTAAAAAATGACAATATAACCCCCCCCTCCAAATCCCATTGCAGCCGCAACATAATCAAACCATTTGATTGATTGACTTCACCTTCATTTATTTTTTATTTTTATTTATTTATTTTATTTTGTCAAGCGATTATAAGATAACAAGTATAAGTATAAACACAGTTATGAATACATGAAATGGATACATATAAGAAAAATAAAAAGAAACGATAGGACAGGGACCATAGGCATGTTGGCGCTTATGGTAGGCGCTTATGCACGCTCCCTACAGACCTCTTAGGAAAGGAGTGAGGTCAATATTAGACAGTCTAAGGTTAAAGTTTTGGGGGTTTGGGGAAGAAGCCACAGAGTCAGGTAGAGTATTCCAGACATTGACCACTCTGTTGCTGAAGCCGTATTTCTGCAATCAAGTTTGATGCGGTTAACCTTGAGTTTGTATCTATTGTGTGCTCTTGTATTATTATGGTTGAAGCTGAAGTATTCATTGACAGGTATAATATAATTATATAATTGTATAATTGACAGGTATAATATAATTCATTATAATATCAATATAATTCATTATAATATAAATTCATTGACAGGTATAACATAATCATTTGATTTATTGACTTCACCTTCGTTCATGGTTCCCATAGTTCTGCTGACAAAACTATGTCTTAGGGTATTTTGGAAAATCAACCAAGTAGGATCCTTCATACTTGGAGGGGCGGGGGGAATGACGTTCCATAGAAAAGGGGGCTTTTTCACGATCTCACCAGATATACATCCCTAATTATAGGACATACCCTGCCTTCTTGTCCTAGTGGGCTGGGTGGATATAGAAGGGGAGGGGGCAGTCCTTCAAATATTCTGGCCTCAAGACATATAAGTCTTATACTAGTAGTACTATGGTACTACTAGAAACACTACTAATGTTGTATTGTGTGGCTTTGTTTAACCTAACACTTGCTTTCCCTCCCTTCCACTCATGCAGGTATTTTAGCATGTATTTGCAACAAATACATTTCATGCACCCAGTGAGATGAACACAAAAGCTTAGTCTACCATAAAAGAATATGTTAGCTTCAAGATATTGCTGGGCTTGTTTGAATATGTGCTATAACAAAATAATTAACCATCTGGAATGTGAGACTTAACCAGCAGTGAACAAACATTGCACCAGTGCTCCTACTGTTCTTATTAAGGGCAGAAAGAAAAACAGTCAAAAATGTATTTTCAGTCATACTAATGCCTTCTTCAGAGCTTTTTTAATAAAGGTAAAACATTACACTTTTTAATATGTTAATTAATTAATCAATTAATTTTAATAGTAACTCAATTCATTAAGACTTGCTATATTCTTTCAATTCATGTACTGACCTTAAAAGACTTGCAACAATCAAAATATGGGTTACAGACATCTTTTCCAAAAAACCAGCAGCAGATTGTTATATAGTAATTACTATATTGTGACCATTTTTAATTGTTTTATGATTATTTGCCAGTCACTGAGTTGGGCAAGTATAAAAATTAAATAATCAATAAATAAATACTGCATCTATTCTTCTGGGAATGGAACATGATCTCATTTATGAATCATTAATTTATTAATCCAGGTTGCTGGTATGAACTTTCAGCGGTCACTCCAAATTCCTATCTTTGTCAAAATAAACATAATTACTAATCTTTCCAAAGTCAGAAGTTCTGTTCTTGGATTTAATGGAAAACAATTATAAAATAAAAATAAAAAATATCCTGTTCAGCTGTAATATACCTTACAACACACAAATACATACAATGTTCGAGATCAATATATACTTGTGTCTGTATTCGGAAGATACATTGATAAGATATAATAAGTTTGAAAAAGGATATTGAAACAATATTCTGAAGAAAAGTAGGTATTTCTACATTGTTGCCAAGATAACTATATGACTATGGCTAAGTGGTTACCAGAAATCAAACTTTAATTAAACTTTAACTTCCCACTTGGCCAGGAAAGCTCCAACAGGTTTCCCTGTTTGGATATCTGACATATAATTTTCACTTTCGCTCCTCTTCCTTGACTGTTTCTTGTCTTGTTTAGTCATTAAGTTGTGTTCTACTCTTCACAAGCCCATGGACCATAGTATGCCAGGCTCCTTATCCATTATCTCCCACAGTTTGCCCAAATTCATGTTCATTGCATCAATAACGCTGTATCTAACCATCTCTTCCTCTGCCATCCCCTTCTCCTTTTGCCTTCAATCTTTCCCAATATCAGAGTCTTCCAATGAGTCCTTTCTTCTGACAGCTTCTAGTGTTTGGCATCTACCTATCTGATGTATGTGCCAGTGGAGTAGATTGAAAAAAGAAATGGACAGACTGCTTTACCATCTTCTCATTGTTGGGACTTGAAGGAAAATGGGCAAAACTCTTCTCAATTTTACCTGGTCAAGAAAAGAGGGAGGAAGGCAGGGATTGACTGATTGGTTGGGGCTTCCATCAATGAACTTATTTTAAAAAGCCCAACCTTGTGCTGTGCAATAAACAGATAGGAAAGAAGTTATTGGGAACCAACTTGCACTGAGATGCCTCCTATAGCATCTGTTGTGTAACACTTCTAATAAGCAGTTCCCTAGGTTACCAACCTCAGTCATATCCATGGCCCATTCAGCATTTCCTGGTAATGATAAGATCAAAATCAATCATTTCTAGCATATTTTTGCCAATATTTCATAAGTGCAAGCAACATTCATTTAGTCTCAGGATTGGGTCTGGCAAGGTTAGAACCAAGCATCCTGAAACCAGAATGATCTGTCATGCTATGTTCTGACCAAGGCTTCCAAGACCTTAATTAAGCACACGCTTAGTTCAAACAACTCTTGTTTTATTTCAGTGCTGGGCATTATGTTTATTCCCAGCCTGTAATGAGTCCCAAACAGTCTCTTGAGATAAGCACCCACCTTTATCTCCTTTAAATTGCTGCCATTAACTAAAGTGCCAAATTAACTGTAAAAAGCCAAACGAAGTAGAAAGTCCACACAGAGCTTCAAGGTTTAATCTGAATAGATGGAATGACTTTGCTTCCTGCAAAGGTTTCTCTACCTTTGCACTTCCTTTCTACCTTATGGGAGAGGCAATCAGCTCCAAGCCTTACTCCTGAGGTGCCCCTTTTGTCTTAGTTGTTGTTGCCTTCTGGCAGGTCTGTGCACATGCGCACTGGGAACAGGCTCCCCTGGGTCCTCTGCTTTGCTGCTGCCAGACTCTGGAGGCTCCGGAGTCAGCACATAACTCTCAGATGGTCTTGGCCCCATCTCTGTATCGGACGTAGGACCCTTGTCTGAGTCCACCCCAGACTCTGGGATTGGTCCCTGTTCTTCCCACTGTCTGATTCTGCTGCCATCTGCACAAGCTGCCGGTGACTCACAACACACTAATAAGAGATAGGTAATGGATCAATTGCTCTTCTGGCCCCAAAGCAGGAACATCTTTATGGGTGAAAGAAAGAGAGGCAAGAATAAATATTCTTTTCCTATAAATATAGCTTTTATTATTTTACTTAGTAATTGTTAGATTGATTATTAAATTGTTCATTGACTGTTCCAATAGTGTTTACTATTTGTCCTTGAATCTCCATTTGCAAAGCTTCTAGTTTCACTACTGATTGGGTGAAGCCTGAGTATAGGATCTCTAACCTAGACACTCATTTGTAAGTTAATATACTATTTAGCTCATCAGTAAGGAAGTAAATGTAATATACTAAATACACTCAAAATATAGAATATAGTTGAAAATGGAATCATTTCAGATTTAGTTTTCCACCATTGAAATAATTATATAGACAAAAAATGCAAGTAGAACAAAAACTTGATAGCTTAATTTAAAAAAAATACTAGTTTTCATTGGCCATTTAGTTGTTTTTTGAGAGATAACA